GTGATATATATATATATATATATATATATATATATATATATATATATATATATGTGGCTGTGGTGACAGCGGGTCTGATACCAATGGAATTGTGGGTATTAACTGACAGGCAGATGAACGCTAACGCTAGTTTAAATATTCTTGACAGTTCCGTCCTCGACTCCATTTAGCCACACGGCGGCGACGGCGGTGACTTTTCAGAAAGTTTAGCATTTTAATGTTCCACTAATTTGGTTTTGGTTTTTTAATCAACAAGTGACTGCAGCCCTGAAACAACCTCTCTCTCTCTCTCTGTCTCTCACTCTCTCTCTCTCTCTCTCTCTCCTGCAGGTATCCTAGGGGGGGGCGGGGGAGGAAGCGAGACACATCAGCAGTGATTATCTGCATGTGGCAGCCCACAGACAGGGTGTCCATACACACACACACACAGAGACAGATATGGAGATGAAGCCATCGTCACAGAAGCAGTGATCAAATGGAGTGATTTCAGTAATGGGTCATGGATAGAATCAGCAGAAAAAAAAACAGCCTCCTCTTATTATACGCCGAGGAAAACACCTATCGGTGTGTGTGTAGGTGTGTTTGTTGATTACATGTGTGTGTGTTTTTACTCAGTGCTCCAGCCTGTGGAAATATGGAGGCACATCTTGAGCACCGAGAACAAAAAAAGGGAAACAGAGCTTCGGTGTTTAGTAGGCATGATGTGGCGTCAATCCTCCACTGCTTTGTTGCGAGAACCCATTTCAAGCTTCACTTCCTGGCTCATGTGAGGTAAATGGGAAACTAAATTGAACCGACTATTGATGCCATTTTCCCAACAGGTTGGAAATTAGCCTGCGGGCTTTTTTTCATTTCCCTTTATAGCATAATGAAATTTATTTCCAGCCAAAATTCCTAGTGAAATGGCACACAATAAAAGTCCTGACACAGATTCCAACCAAACCCTTGACACAAATTGAGCAATAAAAAAATTTTACAAAAGGGGGAAAAAAAATAAAAACGTTTGAATAAGACTTTAGGTTAAAGGGAAGTGTTTTTGTGAGTCAGACTGGAAATATACTACAGGCAAAATAGAAATGTGACAACTCCACAGTCGGAACAGTGGAAAAGTTGTCACTGTTGTTTAATTTAAAATTATTTTGGTGAACATGAGTGTTAATGTAAATCAAAATATTTTATATTTAGTGAAGCTTCATGTATTAGATTAGAATGAGAATTGTTTTAGTAGCATTGACGACATGATATTAAAAATTATTCATTAATATTCATTATTCAAATGACTTGACCTGCGAAGAAGTTTGATACTTTTTTTCCGTAGACTAGTTTGGTACAGATCGGAAACAAATGTGGTTTAAAACTAGTGGTTGACCTGTTTTACAGTAAAAATACAAACAGCCAACACAAAAATCTCAGGTGTTTTTTCTTTAAAATGGCGTTCCTGAAAAAACTGGTTTTGTTCTTTCAATTCCAAACCCTGTTTAGTAACTAAATCAAATTCATATCATGACATTTTAGAGGAAGCTGATTCTGAGTCACTGCTGCTACAATAGATGGATTTCTTTCAGTGTAAAATAAAAGATTGGGTAGCAGGTTAGCATAGCTTCACCACAGAAAGCTACCGATTTGTTTAATGTGCGCAAGATCAGTTATTTTTATTCATCCAATCATATCTCATCTGTGCCGACCGGAGAGAGATGAAGCCATTTTAACATGATAACAAAAACCACTAAAGAGAACACATGACAATTGTATTTTAAAAAAGAAAACTGCCGTGTAATGAAAAAATAAAATATCTTTTTTCAGCGACACCAAGGAGATGAGATAAGTCAAACCAGGATTGGCCGAAACCTCGCACAACTCTCATGCTAGCGTCCTAGCAGCTACATGAAGGGAAATCATGCAGACTCCACAATTCCTTGCCTCAAGATTACCTGTTTCCCATGCACCAGAATTGAGGTGATGTGAGGAGCAATAGAGCTGGCAAACTTCTTGATAATGACAGCCGCATGGCGCACTGCCAGCCTACGGTTTGTCCACATTAAACAAGAGTTATTTCAATAAGTGTCAAGTTAAAGCCCAGTTAGTGGAAAGAAGATTTTTTTCTAAATTATCTAAATTAAAATGAAATAAAAATCTAGTGAAACAATATGTGTGAAGGAGAACTTTATCTGTTGAGTCTGTGTGTATTTTTGTGTATCTCTGTGTACTGGTGAGAATATCAGACCAAAGCTTCCTGCTGCCGGCTCTCCTGTAGATTCTCTCCAGGTCACCCATCAGGCTCTCTGAAATCACACACACGGACACGTTTATTACAGTGATGTGTGAAAATAAATATATTGACATGTATGTGTCCATGCATGTTTTAAACCATTGTTTCCTAAAATAAAGGGCAAATATATTTTCATTATTATTATTATTTGTGCCACCAGAGGAAATTCAAGCTTCCAGATTTGTATTAGCCACTGGCACTGCAGTAGAGCAGACAGTTCCAATAAGAAAATAATTGAGAACCACTGCTTTAACCACGACTGTCCCGCTATATCGGTATCGGAAATTAAGTGTTTGGACAATATCTGCAAAAAGTTAATATCAAACGTCCTTAGCTGGTACTGTACTGTAGATATTGGTCTTTTTCAGCCCATATAAAAACTATGTGTTCTCACCATCTTTGGCAAGGAAGTCATGTCCCTCTCTCCTCAGGAGGATTCCTGCGAGCTCAGCTTGACTCACCAAACAGTTACAGTCCTGAAAAAAAAAGACACGGGGATAGAAATAAATATAACTAAATAAAAGACACAATTGTTGTAACAGTGATGGTAAAATAACTAAAATAAATATAATTTACATCATTTATGATTATGGTGTCGATGGGAATAAATCAAAACCAAATGTGAAAATGTTGTAAACACAAATATAAATCAAATTTTTTTTGTATTTGTAAAAATCCCAAAGACGATGAACTCACGTGGAACTTCTGCATGATCTCGTGGTTGGACTTGTCCAGCCACTCATCCACGACGATCTCCGGCTGCTGTTCCAGGTCTGAAGCGTTGGGGGTGCTCATCTGTCTCTTCACCTTGGAGTGTTTGGGCAGGTCCAGCTCCTCAAAGCCTCTAAACTCTGTAATCCTTTGAGCACATTTTCACATATGTGTTAACACATCATTTAATATCTGTCATTAAAAAAAAAAAAGGAACGTTTTTTTCATTTTTTTTTTTTTTGGACAGGAATATAAAAACCTTACTCTGCTTCATTGACACGAAGGAAATCCAACTGCTCCACCACTGCACCAGATATCAGGGTCTGAAAAGAGAAAAAAATAATAAATATCTTTCTAAAGTACATGTGAAAACTGTCTTAGCGAAAACACCGAAATAAAGATTTTAAGATTTTCTGTCACTGGACATCTGTGAATATTGTTAAAGTATTATGAAATGGACAACAAATGTTAAATTCAGCACTCACAGGTAGGAGATTTGGAAAAAAAGGAATATAAAGAATACAAATTTGTAAAACAAGCAGAACCAAGTTTGCACCTTCAAAACATTTTTTAATATTATTTATTAATTTGTGATTTATTTATCAAAACTAAACCTTAAATTTAAATATTCAATTCAACGTTTGTTCACAGATCAAATTAAATTTCCATTTATTTTCCCTTTGACTAAATTAATTTTATATCTTAACAAAAACTAATTACAACTAAAATAAAAATATGAATTAATTTATAATTTGTAAACTAATATTACTAGTTATAATATTATTTACTGCTGGCTTTTTCTTTTCTTCAGTCAATCTGTACAAAGCTCCACAGTCTCCTCATCGGAGTCGTTATGATGTGCAGACATTTTCATCTCAGACAGATCTTTAAACTAATATTACTAAATATAATATTATTTACTGCTGGCTTTTTTTCTCTCTGGTTTCCTCATCGGAGTCGTTATGATATGCAGACATTTTCATCTCAGACAGATCTGGATGACGGGGACGTCAGTCAAGGACACACTGTCGTCTACATACACAGAGCTGCTGTAGAACTTCAGCTAGAACTTGTCATTTTTGCGCAGTCTTCCTGCCGAGACCGAGCCTTGGGCTAACGCTCACTTTATGCTAATCCCTGTACCTTAGCCTGTTAGCATAATTCTGTTTCATAAACCTATGACCGTTCAGTTTTACTGCTAATCAGATATATTTACATCCTCTGGTGTAAATGTGAAACCAAACCACTGAGCTGATGTAAAATCCTGAATAAAACCAAATGTGTGTATGTGTGTGTGTGTGAAGCTGCTGCAGTGCTCTCCATGACAATGAGACGACGCAGTGGAACAGTGTTTTCAAGCAGTAGGAGTTAGCTGTGAAGTGAATGGCAAATAAGGCAACTTAAAAGGGAAACTGTGTGAGGAAGGCTCAGCGGGGAGAAAGTTAGGGTTGGAAAACCTGTCATAAGTTTTACAAAGCAGTTGCTAAAAGTAACCAATTTAAAAATCATCCCTCCGTGGGCCTGCTTTCAAACACATCTGCTACAAGGTTGAACTGTTATTACAATATTCCCCCAACTCACACCTGGAACGGCAGCGGAGAAAAACCTGGAATTAGAACACGACGGTCACCAGCTCTACAAGAATAATAATAATAATAATAATAATAATAATAATAATAATAATAATAATACATTGTTTCGCTACAGTTGACTATACTAAAATGTTTAAAAGGTTCGTGTATAAATGTGTCAAGGATGAAATATGAATTATGAGCATAAATGTTGTGTTAGTGAGCTTTGTTTATCTGTGTCGTCTTCAGGATGTTGCCATGGCAACCAATAACTCAGTAGGTGTGACTGATTTTGCACAATGTTTTTGCCAGTTCCAATAAATTGTATATGCTAGAAATGGGAAGCTGTGCCAAATATATCAATTAAAAAGCTAAAAAAAAAAAAAACCAACAGGAAATAACAAAAACATATTCCTGTGATGTCGTCCATGTTCTGTACAAATGGGTCAAATGTTTTCCTTAATTTCCAGCCAATCATGTTGAATGAAATCCGTCGACTAAACAGTGTTGGACTCAGACTCAGACTTTTTCACAAAGGCAGTTTGGACACAGACTGGACTCAAATGAAACCTGACAGGCCGAGCTCACAGACACAGACACAGACACAGACACAGACACAGACACAGACACAGACACAGACACTCAAACTAAGGAGACCTCAAATAAAGAATCATGTTTTGTTTTGTTTACTTTTTAGCCAGGGAATACATGAAGCTGTGAGAAACAATTTGTTGAAGCATTTGTAATATCAGAGCCCGTGTTTGTTTCACAGACAGCTGTAATATCTGTTGTCACGGAGCCAACGCCACAGAGGCAGGGCCCCCCTCTCTGTCTGCCCCCACCTCTGCCCCCCTAAACCAACAGCCTGGGGGGGGGGCAAGAGGGGGGGGGGCGGGGTCACATGTCACACACCCCCGACCTTCTCTGCAAAAACAAAGATCAAAGAGTTTCTATCATCGCCAGAGGCACGAGAAACTAAACTGTTTACTACGTATCTTTCACCATAAAGTTAAAAAGATGAAAGTTGAAAAGATTTCACTTTCTGGTGGTTCCCAAAGTGTGGGGCAGGCCCCAATCGGGGACCGCTGATCTACTGCAGGGGGTCCCTGCAGGTCAAATACATTTAATCGTTTATTTCTGTTTTTTAGGAATGTACTGTTCTAAAAGTTGCAAAGAAATAGTTGCACAGTAGTGCTTTCTACAAAAGGGGGCGCTGTAGAAGAAGTTTAGGAGTCACTGTTTAAATAATGTTTTAAATGTTTGGACTTTACTGTTTGGAAAATACATACAATTTTTCTCCTTTAATGGCATTAATTTTTTAAATAAAATTTACATTTGTGCTTGTTTTGTATTATCTTAATTTTGAAGATTTCTTTTTTTTTCTGAGGCAGTTTTAATTGTATTTAAAGTTCAAATAGCTCAATTCATTTATTTTAAGTGTACCAACCTGAAGTCTGTCAACGTGAACTTTGACCCCACCAATGCTACCTTTCCTGAAAGAGGCCAACATGTCCAGGACCGGGTTGAAGCGACTCCCCCTGGTGGAAAAAAAGATTAAAACACAAAAATACAAACTATATCAGTTTGAGAAAATAAGCTGCCGCATTAACTCTCCAATCCAGACACGACTCTGGTGTTCAACATGACATTGGTATGAAGCAGCGCTGTAGAGAAGCTACGACCTCTAAATGTAACAAGACCAAAGCCTCATCGCTTTGTTCAGCGCGCTGTCATCATTTATACAGGTCATCATCCCGATCAATAACCAACTAATGACTATTGAGTTTCTACTGTGAAAACCCACTGACTCATTGGAGACGCTGCGGTGTGACTGTATATAAGCGTTAGCGGCACATTTAACATATGGTTCCTGGGATAATGGTCAATAACGCTGTAATCAGCCCAGCAGCTAAGCTGCGGTAATACAAATGAGAAACATTATCACCCAATCAGAGAGCACATACAGTCGCACCTTCCAGCTACAAAGATAAATGAGGAACGATGAAAGGAATAGACTGAAAGTAATACTGGACCAAAAAAGGAAATCGTGTTGTGACTGTCGTTGACGGCTGAACCCGGCTCTTAAGAGACAGAAAGGGGAGATAGATGTTGTTAATAAAGAAGTTAGAAGGAAGGACGGAAGTGTGTTGTGAAGAAGCTATCACAGGACGGAGAGACAGACGACGGCTGATAAAACAGTTATTACGGGCTGGCTGTATTACTTGATGTTATCCTCGCGGATGAGGACCAGGAAGAGAGGACGTCCCTGCATCTTCCAGCACTGTTTGATGAACTGCAGGGCGTTCTGTAGAACATGGGAGAGAGAGAGAGAGAGAGAGAGAGAGAGAGAACCAGATGTAAACAGGTAACAGAGTGTTGTGGTCACCACTGGTATTACAACTGAGGTTTAGGTCATTGACAGGAGAAAAAAAAAACAAAAAACGTATGAAATCTACAGGTGTTTGTTTGACCATGGACGAATGAGGAAAAACAAAAAAGTCCTGGTTTAAATATGGCTGGTTTTAGCCATTGAAAGAAACGTCTTGTTATAAACAAATACAATATTCCTACTTCAGTCGAAAAAACGACAAATGACAGTGAAAAATATAAGGAGACACAGAGTCAGCCCTGAGGTGAGCTGGCTGCTAAAAATTAGCCTCACGAACCAAAAGGTAAAAAAAAAAAAAGAAGCTGCAACATTTAAAAATAGTACAAGTATCTAGTAACTGGATGGTAATTTGTCTGCGTCTGTACAACATCTGTAAGGCTGGATATTTTGGGAACACTTGCATCGTATAGAAGTTCCATAAACATATAAATATAAGACGCTGAGATAAGAAAAAAAAAAAAATCAGCTTTTAAAAAATGTGGCTCTGACCTACCGTGATGTCATCAATCAGCAGCATAACATCCTGGGACAAGTAAAAGTCACTTAGATCAAACACTATTGGGTAGCACACCACTGTCTTTCCCAGGATGCGATAAATCTGCAGGGACACACACACACACACACACACACACACAGACACACACACAGAGACGGATGACTCACGAGCAGCAACGTATACATTATTCCAGGCCGTGGTATGAAACTAGTCATCAATCCTGAGATAAGGAGGACACACAGGAAGTACACAATACTTCTGATACTACACACACACATTTACACACGTCTACTCTTTCACACATTCAGGCTAGAGCCAACGCTGATGACAGCGCCCCCTGGTGGTCTGCCATCCTACCTGTAAATGTGCCATTATATTATTGTCTCAGTAATTGGTGGAGATCCATGAATCATTTGTTAAAAAATCAGCTTCAACAGTTCGACATATTTGTTTTTTGCTCTGACCTTCAATTTGGAGAAAAAACAAAAACAACAAAAAAAAACAAAATGATTGAAAATTACATTAGTTAAAAATTCCAGCCCTGAGACAATCTGCTCCTCCGTCCACGTTAAAGTCACAGTTTAACATTTGTATTTATATTTTCATTTATACTGATTTGTGCTCAAATCCAAATAAAAAAAAGATTTTTAAGTTTCTTTTTTTTTTTTTTTTGAAGATTTTGAAGTTACATATTCGGAGCTCCAGGAAACACAGAGCACTCCATGTGGGCGGTGGGTTCATGGAAACCCAGGACCAGTATCATGTGTTTGAACATACTGTATGTATATACTGTATATGTGTACTGTATATACTTCAAATACCTTGCAGGTCCCGATGCAGCCCACCGGCCTCTCTGGACGCCCACTCAACCCCAGCTTTTTGTTAACGCCGAGGAATCGATATGCCTACAGGAAGACAAACACAGAGAGGACGAAGATCAGGAAGGAAGACGGAATGTTTATCTAGAAGACAATACATTATTAACTATGTACAGTTACTGTATCACGTTGTTTCCCAAAGACTGGGTCGCGACCCTCAGGTAGGTCGCAAGAGATTTTTTTTTTTTTTTTTGGTCGTCTTGCATCATGTTTCCTTTGACTTTTAAAATATGGGTCTCCAGAAAAAAAGTTTGGGCATGAACTCATGAGGCTGACTGAGCTTACAGAAAAGAACAAAAAAAAAAAACTGAGTCCAAGAGACAGCATATGTGAGTTTGTCACATGATCAAATCTTTATTATTAAACTGCTGTTAAATCAAAGGGTCAAAACAGAGGCTAAAAAAAAATTAAAAAAAAGCCCAACGTCTCCTCAATTGTCCACCCCAGAAATGGGTTCAGCTCCTACACTCTGGAGAAGCTGGAGAAAGTTGATTTTCCAAAGCACCGCTTTGGTGCTTCAGATAAAAGCTTGGTGCTGCATCACCTGCTGTCAAAACACACAGATCCACAGCCACAGAGAGGAGGAGGAGGAGGAGAGGGAGGTGATGGACATCGATTTCTCTCCTCTGCCTCTGGCCCAGCGGTGTGACACATTTGCTACATGTTGCCATTCACCGTCGACCGGCGTTCTGTGCGTTGCATTTGTGTTTTTCCAAAGTGTCGGAGCACTTATCCTCTTTGCGGAAGCCTATAAAATCTAAATTTAAACATCCTGCCGTGAAACAGCATTAGCACGCCCACACGCTGGAGTGGCACTGCAGGAAGAGTGCTCCTCAATCCCCTCCGTGCCGCATTCCACCTCCAGCTGACAGCAATACAGCACTGTCGCCAAAAGGTGGTGCTCTTCTACTCCTACAGTTTGCACGTGCTCAACGCTCTGAGAGGCTTGAAAAAGAAAAAAAAGGGCACGCAGCAGAAAAGTGGAGACAGAAAACAGCAAAGAAATGACAAGAAAATCAAATCTCGCCGCTAAAAATAAGACAAACGATTATGGAGCAGAGAGTAGTTTCACTGCTGCCTGACCTGAGAGATCAGCGTCAGACCTGGAGCAGTGAAAACAAGTGGAGGTGTAGGAGCCTCTGCACCCACCACTTCCTGTGTGCAGAATACCAATGAAGAACAACAACTCACAGGCAGCTTATCAAAGCGTCCTTTCATTCCCCCGCACTTTCTAACGACTGCAGCACTAACAGCAACAGATGAGTGGGTTTGTGGGAAAAACTGTATTTTTAGAGCCTTTTTGATTTGATAATTTTCCTGGAGCTGTAAGTGCAGTACTTTGCTTCGTTTTGATTCACCTCCCTCAAAAAAGGGGGCTACATTTTGATTTTTTCCATCTGACAAATGGATAAAATTATTATGATTTGTGTCACAAAATCACCGTACAGGTCGGCTGCTGCTGCTGCTGCTGCTGCTGCTGCTGCTGCTGCTGTCGTGAATGAATGACACTGAAATACACCATCCTGAAATCTCTGGAGAAGTGAATGTGAGCCTTTTCACAGTCAGAAAGTTTTACCTTTCGTACTTATGACCAACGGCTTCAAATGTCAAAAACATAGAGAGGTTAATATTTAGGGTGAAAGAACAGCCAGAGAAATGAAACTGTTATTTGCAAAGGGACTAAGGACACGGACGTCGGGGTAGAAATAAGTTGGGGCAAATGTTATTGCCACGCTGTCAGACAGCTGTTGTCAACGGCATCAAATTGCTGCGAGGGGACGAGGTGAAGTGAGCAGACGTAGCCCGCGGAGCCGAGAAAAATTGGTCGTGATTCTGACTCAAACACATACTTTTTGGGGAGAACCCACTGTCTGGGCTTCAGACTTAATATTCAGCACAAAGTCCACCTTAACTCAGAGCTGAAAACCCGGCTGAGGAACGGAGCATCTGGCAGCTGAAAGAGCCACATGAGAGAGAGAGAGAAGGCAAGGAGAAAGACGAACGAGGGTGGGACAGTCAAGGACAGGATGATAGAGATGGAGGACGGGAGGACAGGAGGACAGGAGGACAGGAGGACGGGAGGACGGGAGGACTGGAGGACGGGAGGACGGAAGGACTGGAGGACAGGAGGACTGGAGGACTGGAGGACAGGAGGACTGGAGGACGGGAGGACGGGAGGGCTGGAGGACGGGAGGACGGGAGGACGGAAGGACTGGAGGACTGGAGGACTGGATGTTGTGTTGGGCATAAGGAGAGACGTAGTGTGGACGCAGAAGAGCAAATGTCAAGGGAGAGACAGGAGCCACTGGAGGACGGGAGCAAATGTCAAGGGAGAGACAGGAGGTGCAAAAGGCCGGAGGGTGAAGAGCTCAGGGTGATGACATCAGAGGAGCAGGGGTCAAAGTTTTCTGGGACGGTTGTCAATCAAAGTCCCTTCTAATGACTTTTGTTAGTTACACAGAAAAAGGTGTAAATTTAACGCAAATATTTGCCGACATTAAAAGGCTCAGCGTGACGGTAAACAGTCGGTCAGATTGACCGACCTGACCGCCATCGTCAAACCAGCAGAGGTCCTCGATGTCGACTGTCACTGCTTCACTGTGGAGTAAACATTTAATTTATAAATAATTCACCAAATGTTCTTGAACACACAAATCATTTTCAGGAAGATTTTCACTCACTGACGAAGTGTGATCTAAATTATAAACACCCGACATTTTTGATGGTGTTAATGATTGATTAGGATTTAACGAATCATCATTTGGCAGGAAAACACTCCACTCAACACTTCACTTCACCAACACCAGGACTCTGGGCCTAAACTGCTGATACAAAGCAGGTAAAGGTCCTTGGGCGCCGACTTTTTTGACCTCACCA